TCCTGGAAAAATATGTAATGGGTTTTAGGGAACTTTCGAAGGTAGATTGTCCTGTGTGAAGTCTTGATGCCAAGCGGCAGTATTGGCACGAAAGAGGGATCGTGTATTTGCTGCTTGCTGTTGAGCCAGTTGTGACTCACGGAAGCCCATGAGTGCAATGAAGGACTACTCCATAGGGTCTTCTTGGCTGTAATCTAATGGGAGCAGATAGCTAGGCTTTCTTCTGTGGTACTGCTGGATGGGATCGAACCATCAACCTTTAGGTTAGCAGTCGAGTACAAACGGTCTGTCCCACTCAGGGACCTGACACAACTGCATACATAAGTCAAAACTCACAGAACTGTACACTGAATAAATATGCATTTTACTTTATGTAAATTATACCTCAACAATCCATCCTTAAACAAAATCGTTTACATAACTCTAAATATATCCATGATAAATAAGAGTAAATAGACGCTTTTGCAGAATTTTTACCTATGCCAATTTATTAAACTCAAGACATCATTAATTAATAGACACATAGGTATTTTTGGTTTCATTCTGTCAGTCAGTGTCCAGGAAGGAAAAAGAATCCACTTAGAGGGCATGTTGAGGCAACACAGAGTTTTGCCCAGGGCTGAAGGAACAGAGGGGAGGTGGGTTTCATGGAGCCCAATAGCCAGGCCCACCAGCAGGAGCAGAGACGCAGCCCCTGAAAGAGGACATCTGAGCACCGCCAGAGAGGACGGACACCCTGGTCTCTTTCTCCCCTTTGGTAGTCACCCTCTGCTCAAACCCACCCAAAGTAGAGTAGGCTGGGGAGTCTGAAATAGCCCACCTGTGTCCACAGCACAGGGGGTGACAGGCGGGCCCTGGTCCACCGGCTCACAGGAAATGATGGGCAGAGCTCTTAAGAGGGAAAATTGCTGCCCACTGTCTTGGTTTCCTAGAGTGGCTGTAACAGAAGCACCACACATGGGTGGCTTTAAGCAACAGCTAGTTATCTCCTCACTGCTTAGGAGCCTAGGAGTCTGCATTCAGGACGCCGGCTCTGTTGTTAATGCCGTGGAGTCAGTTCCAACACAAAGCAGCCCTGTGCACCACAGAACAAAACATTGCCAAATCGTGTGCCATCCTTACAGTCATAGCTGTGCTTCAGCCCATCATTTCAGCTACTGTGTCCATCCATCACATCGAGGGTCTTCCTCTTTTTCTCTGACCCTCTATGTTAACAAACGTGATATTCTTCTCTAGGGAATGGTCCCTTCTAATAACATGACCGAAGTGCAAAAATCAAAACAAAACAAAAAACTCACTACCATCGAGTCAGATCTGATGCATACATAGTGACCCTCCTTGGGTTTCTGAGGTGGTATCACTACACATACTAAGGATGGATTGTTGAGGTATAATTTACATAAGGTAAAATGCATACTTATTCAGTGTACAGTTCTGTGAGTTTTGACTTATGTATGCAGTTGTGTCAGGTCCCTGAGTGGGACAGACCATTTGCACTCGACTGCTAACCTAAAGGCTGATGGTTCGATCCCATCCAGCAGTACCACAGAAGAAAGCCTAGCTATCTGCTCCCATTAGATTACAGCCAAGAAAATCCTATGGAGTAGTCCTTCATTGCACCCATGGGCTTCCGTGAGTCACAACTGGCTCAACAGCAAGCAGCAAATACACGATCCCTCTTTCGTGCCAATACTGCTGCTTGGCACACTATTAGATTGCCCAACCTTCCTTCCAAGGAGTGGCTGGTGGGTTTGAACCGCCAGCCTTCTGGTTAGCAGTCAAGTGCCTTAGGCACTGTGCCACCAGAGTTGAAGTTTCTCTCCACAGTTTTTAAAAAAAGCCATAGAGTTGACTCTGACTCATGGTGACACGTGGGCAGAGAAGACTACTCAGTGTTTTCATGGCTGTGACCTTTGGGAAGCAGATTGCAAAATCTTCCTTTTCTTGCCCTCTGAGTACGTAAACTTCAATTAAAATAAGTACAGACTTCTAAGGGATGGTGGTGCGAACGGCTAATGCACTCAGCTGCTAACCGAAAGGGTGGAGGTTTGAACACCCCCAGAGGCACCTCAGGAGAAAGTCTTGGCCATCTGCTTCTGACAACTCAGCCACTGAAAACCCGTGGACACAGTTCTACTGCAACACACAGAGAGTGCCATGAGTCAGGGTTGACTTGACAGCACATGGTTGAGTCTTCCTCCAATCCTGATGCCACATTCTTCATATAGTCCAATGTCTCAGTTTACTTGCTCAGCAGACAGACTGAATAAGTACAGTGAAAGGATACAACCCCAATGCATACCTTTCCCCTGATCCATTCGAATGACTGTCTCTTGGTCCATGTACAGGTTTCTCATGAGCACGATTAAGTGTTCTGGAGTTTGCATTCTTTGCAACATTATCTACAACTTGTTATGATCCACACAATCAAAATAAACACAGGTAAACATCTTTCCTTTATTCCCTGCTTTCAGCCAAGATCCATCTGACAACAATTATATCCTTCATTCCACATCCTCTTCTGAATCCAACTTGAATTTCTGGCTGTTCCCTGTTGATGTACTGCTGCAACCATTTTTAAATTATTTGCAGCAAAATTATACTTGGGTGTGATATCAGTGCCAGGAGGGACCACACCCTGGAGAGGGATATCATACTTGCTAAAGTAGAGGGTCAGTGATGAAAGGAAGACCCTCAGTGAGATGGAGTGCAACGGTGGCTGCAACAGCGAGCCTGTGAGGATGGCGCGGGCCCAGGCAGGGTTTGCTCTGTTGCGCATGGGGTCGCTATGAGTCAGAACCGAATCGAGGACACCTCACAGCCGCCCAAGGGAGAGTTCATCTTTCATTCATGACTCTGCACTGAGGGCCTGGCTGAGGGCTTAGCACGCTCTGAATAGGCATAAAACGTGAGCAATGACCAAACATGTAAATCAAGGTTGTACAAAGAGGTGGGTGTGGAAAACCCTAACCTCTCTTTGTCGTTGCTGTTCTTAGTTGTCATTCAGTCAAACCTGACTCATGGCTACCTGAGTGTGCACAGTACAACTGCGTCACACAGCTTTTGAACCTGTGATTGTTCAGAGGCAGATTGCCAGGGCTCCCTTCCAAGGTGCCTCTGCATGGTTTTGAACCACCAACCTTTGGACTAGTAGCTAAGCATGTGATCATTTGCGCCACCGGGAGACATCCATTGTATATTGTTGTACTTTGTTGTCATCAAGTTGCTCCAGCCTCATGGCGACCCGGCGTTTGTCGGAGTAGAACTGCTCCATGGCCTTCTCAGGGCTGTGATGATTAGGCAGCGCGCCGCCAGGCCTGTCTTCCGAGGCCCCGCTGTACGGTCGGAGAACTTATCTTCCTCTCCCACCGACGAAGAGCCTGAAGATACGGATGTCTCTGCTGATCAGCACAAATGGGCTGCAGGTGGGGAAACACGCAGCCACAAGCGTGGAGATTTTGAACAAGCTGACGTTTTTGTTCGCAAGGAGCGCCCTGTAAAACGCCAAGAAGGGAGAGAGGGAGGAGAGGGAGACGGAGCCGCTCACCAGCCCCAGGATCGTGTGGGTGGCCCTGGCCTCGGGGCAGGTTTTACAGGAGAGGTGCCTCTTCTGAGTGTGTTGGATTCTGTACGAAACGAACACCGTGGAGCCGCTAACCCAGACCATGAGTCCCAGAAACGTAAACTCAACGGAAGCAAGCAGGAGGGCGTAGAGTAATACGCCAGCTGACGGCTGAAAGACTCCAGTGCAGTGGTCAAAGTCACTTCCCGTGGAGGTGTTTGGGCCGTGCTTTGGCCCAGCCACACTAAGAGGAGTGGCAACGCGTAGCAGAAGGTTGAGGAGCCAGCAGATGCAGCAGGAGAGGACAGTATGCTCGGAAGCTCTGGCTTTGCGCTCGGACCCCCTGGGCATCTAGAGCTGACCGTGATGGCCTGGAACCCACTCAGGAGGCTGGTGGTGCAGAGGGAGGCCCCCCGGCCACTCGGTGATCGTAGAAAAGGAGTTTACAGCCCACATCATCAAGGGGATCTTTCAGCCCTAGAGCTGTCATGGCCTGAGGGACCCCCTGAGAGAGGAGAACCAAGGTGTTGGCCGAACACAGGTGGCTGAGAATCAGGTTGATGGGCTTTAGTTTGTGTCCAGCAAATAACAAGGTCAAGTGAAGACATACAAGTGAGGAATTCCCCAGGAGCCCAGCACCAGTCTGGAGGAGGATGATAATCCCAAACGCCAAGTCACTGGGAATCATCAGTCTATGTTTAATCAAAGCCCGAGAAACCTGAAAATAAAATAAAATAAAATAACACAGCCTGATTGTTATCTGATTCATTGGGAAGGAGAAAAGTTAACTCACGGCTCTATGAGAAGCCAGTTTCTGGAGACACCTTTGGGATTGATAGTAGCCTCTATTAACCATTCCAAGTCAACTTGTTGTTGGGTGCCATAAAGTCAGTTCCGACTCATAGCAACATATCCCATGGGGTTTCCTAGGTTGTAATCTTGATGGGATCAGATCACCAGGTCTCTTCTCCTGTGGAGCCACTTAGTGATTTTGAATCACTGACTTTTCTGACAACAGCCAGGCATTTAACCATCGCACCATCAAGTCTGAGACACACACACCTCTTAGACAAACACACCTCTCCTTCCCCTAGCAGGACAAGGTGGTTGTCCTTGTTAGCACATAACAGCTATTTTTTCTTTCCCCTGGCAGCAATGTGTGGAGGCCCAGTTCTGGAATGAAACCTGGGTTCTTTCATGCCACCAGAGTAACTAAATGCTCTTTGCCATGAGTGCTTTAGGGAAGGTGACCTCACTTGTGACAGAGTAGAACTCTGCTCTGTTGACTTCTCTGGGCTGTAATGTTTATGGTAGCAGATCACTGGACTGACCTTCTGGGGTGCTGCTGGGGTGCTCAAACAGCCCCTTAGGTTAGCCGTCCAGGGCAAATTCTTAGTGCCATCAAGCGGTTTAGGGGTGAATCTTGGTGACACCACAGGGTCTTTACGGAAGCAGACTGCCTCATCTTTTTTCTGTGGAGCAACTGGTGAGTTTGAACCACTGACCTTTTAGATAGCAACAAAATGCCTTCACCACTACACTACCAGAGCTCCTTGTTGCTGTTGTTGTTAGGTGACATCGAGTCATCTCCGAATCACAGTGACCCTATGTGCAGGAGAACACAACACTGCCCAGTTCTTGCCAGCCCCACAATCCTTGCTTTACCTGAGCCCATTGTTGTAGCCATTGTGTTAATCCATCTTGTTAAGGGCCTTCCCATTTTTCATTGACCCTCCACTGTACCAAACATGATATCCTTCTCCAGGGAATGGTCCCTTCTGACAACATGACCAAAATGTTGTTGTTGTTGTTGTTATGTGCTGTCGAGTTGGACCTTACTCATAGTGACCCCTCCTTGGGTTTCCAAGGCAGTATCACTACAGAAGTAGATTGCCCAACCTTCCTTTTGAGGAGTGGCTGGTGGGTTTGAACCGCTAGCCTTCTGGTTAGCAGTCAAGTGACTTAGGCACTATGCTACCAGAGCTCCTATGACCAAAGTAGGTGAGACAAAGTCTGGCCATTCTTGGTTCCAAGGAGCATTCCAGCTGCATTTCTTCCAGGACAAATTTGTTAGTTCTTTTAGTAGTCTATGGTACTTTCAGCATTCTTCACCAACACCACAACTCAAAAGTATCAGCTCTTCTTCAGTCTTCCTTATTCATTGTCCAGCTCCCACATGCATATGAGGTGATTGGTTTTTGTCAGGCACACTTTAGTCTTCAAGGAGATATCTTTGCTCTTTAGCACTTGAAAGAGGTCTTTTGCAGCACATTTGTCCAATGCTATGTGTTGTCTAATATCTTGACTGCTGTTTCCATTAGTGTTGATTATCGA